AAATATTAAAACATTTTGAAAAATATTAAATCATTTGAAATAATTTTAATAATTTGAAAAACTTATCCAAAAATATTGTATCGAGCCATTGTACCCTTACCATGATCTAGAACAGGCATAGGCAACCATCGGCACTGCAGATGTTTTGGACTACACCTCCCTTGATGCTTTGCCAGCATTATGTGTGTAAGAGCATTATGGGTGAAGTAGTCCACAACATCTGGACTGCCTATCCCTGATCTAGACTGTGGAGCAACTATAAGAAAAAACATGAGGATTTGGTGTAACAAATTTTATGAAAAAAGAAAAACCCCATAAAATATATATTTGTAACATGAACCCTGTGTGTCAGGAGAGACCATATGGGATTGGGTTAATTTCCTGACTTTTTCTCCATTGTCAAAATACCACTCAGAAAAAAAAAATGCTTAAAGGACCACTATAGTGCCAGGAAAACATACTCGTTTTCCTGGCACTATAGTGCCCTGAGGGTGCCCCCACCCTCAGGGTCCCACTCCCGTGGCACTGAGGGGGGAGGAAGGGGTTAAACTTACCTCTTTCTCCAGCGCCGGGTGGGGAGCTCTCCTCCTCCTCTCCGCCTCCTCTCCTCCTCCTCTCCTCCTCTTCGGCTGAATGCGCATGCGCGGCAGGAGCTGGCTGCACATTCAGCCAGTCTCATAGGAAAGCATTTACAATGCTTTCCTATGGACGCTGGCGTCTTCTCACTGTGATTTTCACAGTGAGAAGCACGCAAGCGCCTCTGGCGGCTGTCAAGAGACAGCCACTAGAGGCTTGATTAACCCTAACATAAACATAGTAGTTTCTCTGAAACCGCTATGTTTATAAAAAAAAAGGTTAACCCTAGCTGGACCTGGCACCCAGACCACTCCATTAAGCTGAAGTGGTCTGGGTGCCTATAGTGGTCCTTTAACCCCTTAAGGACCAAACTTCTGGAATTAAAGGGAATCATGACATGTCAAACATGTCATGTGTCCTTAAGGGGTTAATGAGCGTTACAGAAAATAAAACGATAAAGATTAAACTGCAATTGATATTGCTGTTTTAAAGTCATTATGGCAGATAAAGCTGTAGAAGTTAAGACTTTTATCCAGAGATATTAGAAATCACAAAATTTAAAAGCATGTATTGAAAAACAATATTAAGCAGTGTCTACTGCTCAATTGATCAACTTAAATATATTTTCATCTGACAGGTTGCTTTGGGGAAACAAAAGAAAATCATTACACATTTTAAAACCATTTCTCTATTCATCATTTTTTTTTTTATATATTTTTTGCTAGTTTATATCAAACACTGTTGTTTTATGGAAATAGTAGTTTGTTCCATCCATTAAACATAGTTAAAAATGGCAATGAACCAGGGTCTGTTGCAGTCTAATTTATTTTGCTGTAAATGTAGCAACTATTAGTCAATCACTGATGGGCAGATATGTGCATTACTCAGTGGCAAATGGTCACAGATCATTAAGCAGATTTCCTTGTTCTAAGCTCTCACGTCAAAGAAATAGTCAGTCCTCAATCAATTTGGAGATGTTTTTGCGCCTTGTCCTTTATTCAGTGTAGCTCGGCATAAAATAAGTTTGATGGATTTCACAGAGCAAAGTGATTTACTCTGTGTAACAGCTGATGTCATTAAGCCATTGTTTTGAGAAACTGTATTCATCCTATTTTGTTTTGTATTTTTTTATTTTTGTCATGACATAAAAAAATGCACATCATACATGGAATTCCGCATAGGTACAATAGCAAATCAACGATAGACCAAATACAGAGATACATTAGTTGTGGTAGGCATATGATCACAGCGACATGCAGTACCAAAGTGTCCACCCGGTCCTCAATTATGAGGTTGTGATCTTACCACGACAATATATTGAGTCATGTATTTATGATTTTATTAGGAAGCCATAGAATTTGGTAAATTATCATCTCAAGGGTTGAGTCTGACATGACTGTTATGTCCTAAACCTACAGGCTTATATATTGTCGCCAGTGGAACTTTTCTCAATATCTTGCCACATGTATGTCACGCAACATCCCAGTTGGATATTTTAGGACTGTAGTGGCTTATTTGCTCCCTCCCGTATATATAAACAAGTGATGCTTCAATATAAGATAGGTGTGAAGGAGAGGAGAAAAAAAAAGTGTATGATGGAAGTATGCCTTATTTTTATTATATAAACCAGAACTTAAAATAGACGATATCTGTTACAAAAAACAAACATTGTCTCAAAGGAAAAACAAACTAATGTCATCTAAGTAGGTATCTTCTAAAATAAAGTCACTTCCAGTCTTTAGTCAGAATATATATATATATATTTTATTGTTTTTGACATATAGATGGGGAAAATTATAAATCTGGTACTATTTAAATGGTTCTTATGAGTGGTCACTAGTAGAGTTGAGTGAACCCGGACTGTAAAGTTCGGGTTCATACCGAACATAATGGTACATATCAGTGTATGTTCAGGTTAGAGTACGGTGTTCGGCGATTTAATGGTGTGTTTTGAAAGGCTGCAGGGCAGCCATTCAACAAGCGTTTGACACGTGTGCCCTTAGAGACCATCACAGCCATGCCTACTAATGCATGGCTGTGATTAGCCAGTGCAGCATGTAACCCAGGCTCTATATATAAGCTGGAGTCACGTTGCGTCACACGCACATGAGCTCTTAGTGTAGGGAGAGGATGCTGCCGCTTTCAGGGACAGATTAGGAAAGAATTCTGCAAACTAGTACATTAGTGGGGTGCACTTCATATCTGAGAGTCAAATAGAAGCGTCAAATAGTGCTGTGACATCGGAGTTTAAAAAAGTCAATTTTTTTGATGCTAAATAGTACATTTGGGGTGTGCACTTCATATCTGGGAGTCAAATAGAAGCGTTAAATACTGCTGTCACATTGCAGTTTTAAAACTTACAATTTGTTGGGTGCTACAAAGTACATTAGTGGGGTGCACTTCATATCTGAGAGTCAAATAGAAGCGTCAAATACTGCGGTTACAGCACAATTGTAAACATTCTTATTTTCTGGGTGCTAATCTGCTAAAAAAGTACATTTGGGGCATGCTCTTCATATCTGAGAGTCAAATAGAAGCGTCAAATACTGCGGTTAAAGCGCAGTTGTAAAAATTCTAATTGTTTTGGTGCTAATCTGCTAAATAGTAAATTTGCGGCACGCTCTTCATATCTGAGAGTCAAATAGAAGCGTCAAATAGTGCGGTTACAGCGCAATTGTAAACATTCTTATTTTCTGTGTGCTAATCTGCTAAATAGTAAATTTGGGCCCTTCACTTCATATCTGAGAGTCAAATAGAAGTGTCAAATAGTGCGGTCACAGCACAATTGTAAACATTCTTATTTTCTGGGTGCTAATCTGCTAAATAGTAAATTTGGGGCGTGCTCTTGATATCTGAGAGTCAAATAGAAGTGTCAAATAGTGCGGTTACAGCACAATTGTAAACATTCTTATTTTCTGGGTGCTAATCAGCTAAATAGTAAATTTGGGCCCTGCACTTCATATCTGAGAGTCAAATAGAAGCGTCAAATACTGCCGTTACAGCGCAGTTGTAAAAATTCTAATTGTTTTGGTGCTAAACTGCTAAATAGTAAATTTGGGGCGTGCTCTTCATATCTGAGAGTCAAACAGAACCATCAAATAGTGCTGTGACGTAGCATATATAAACTTTTACATTTTTGGGCTGCTAAAATGTACATTTGCGGCCTGCGGTGAACTTCATATCTGAGAGTCAAATAAAACCGTCAAATATTGTGCTTACATTGCAGTTGTAAAAATTCTCATTCTTTAGGTGCTAAAAAGTCAATTTGGTGCCTGCACTTCATATCTGAGAGTCAAATAGAACCGTCAAATACTGTGGTTACAGCACAGTTTGACCAATTCAAATTTTTTTGGGTGCTAAATAGTACATTTGCGGCCTGCACTTCATATCTGACAGTCAAATTGAACTGTCAAATACCAAAATAACAATATTGTAATTTCGGAGGCAATACCCTCACAAGTCAAACTGAGAGGTCAGTTTATAGGGAAAACTGTTGCCTGGATACAATTCTAAAACAATTCCCATATGTCCTTTGCAGAGTTTACATGCTGGAAAAACACAGGTGCCAACTGCTGTGGCTTTCTGCAGTGTGCAGACTGGCAAGGAGGGAAGGGATGAGGAGTGGGTGGAAGATGATGTCGAGGATGATGAGGTTCTAAACTCACATGGAATCAAGGTCATGCGAGTAACATGTGCAGTTTGGAGGAAGAGGCGCTGGTCGCACAGAGGCACTAGCACAGCATAAGAGAGAGCAGGGTGCAAAAGCGGAGCGGCAGTCCCCTAGCGCTTCTCGGCATGTATTATCTTTAGAATTCGGACAGTTATCCAAATAATAGATGGAGCGATAAAAGGAACCATAACAGATTTAACGAGCCATTCGCAGTTTCTCAGTCTGGTGACCAGGACTCAGACACTGTCTGGGCAGCCAGTATGTCTGATGTTGAAGTTAGGAGTCACAGTGTGGAATGGATTAGCAGGGTCTGGTGCAGGGTAACCGCACGCCCCCTGGTGTTGAGCACCACCGTTTGTGCGGCCACATACCAGGACCGTGATGCAGCTTCAGTAAAAAGAGTACTGGATACCAGAAGCCATCACCAGCCTGATCCGTAACTTGGATCAGGATGTGACATTCACTGTAGTGGCTGTGCGTGCTTTTGGCATTCTCACCCTGCTCACCTGTCTGCACTGTAGCGTAACTTTGGCCTTTCCGCTCACCGCCTCACATGCGGCGTGCCCACAAGGTGGAACTCCACATGCTGGAGAGACTGTGCGAGCAGCAGCAGGCGATAGTGGAGTTTCAGCTGCAGCACGCATGGGTCAGTCACTCTGCACCAGACCTGCCCTCCAATTGATCAGAGTTAAAGGATTTCAAGTGGACTCATTACAATAACAGGGCCTCTAAAGAGTCCTGCATTGTTATTTGTCGTCACTACCTTCCCGCATCGGGCATAGGTCATTTGCGTGCCTGCTGCCTTCCTTGCTTGTGGTAGCAGTTTCTCAGGCTCCCTCTCCGGAACCCTGAATGCGTCATCACCTTGTCGTTGGGGAGCACATTGAAAAAGTGCTCTAGCATGACGAGCTGGGTGATCTCCTCCGGGAACTTGGCTTGATGGGAGTTGAGCCAGTTCTGGATGGCCCTTGTGAAGCGGCATGCCCACTCCGCATGGGAGTCCTTCTCCCCTTTCCGGGTCTCCCTAAACTTTCGGCGGCATTGCTCGGGTGTGCCCGCATACCGGGTGTAATAAAGGGATAGTCTCTGATCTGCGCTTCTGGTACAGCCCGGTAAATATCCGCTGCCTTCCCCACTAGTTTGCTGGCCAGGATGGTGAACCAGTCGCTGGGGTCCACGTCTTGGAGTAGGCACTGGCGCTCAAAGTCTTGTAAAAAGTCATCGATGCCTTCTTCTGCTTCCTTAAAGTCTTTGAAGGCATTGTATGGTAGCTTGTGGGCCAGGGTGGTTTTGCTTCCCGGCGCCCTCTGCTCCCTTCTTCCTTCATCTGGGTTCATGGAGGACGCCCTCTGTCTATTGGCAAGGACATAGGCTTGCACCTCCAAAAAGGTCCTGCTGACAATCTCCTCTGAGGGTGGCTCTCGGTAATATGCCAGGCACCGTTACACCTCCTAGCGCACTTCTTCCTCATCTCTGGCCCCTGGCTGGGTTTCGTTGCCTCACTGCGTGCCTGGTCGTCCTCCATGAGCGCAGCAGTCAAATCGGCCTTGTTACGCCCACCAGGCATTATTCCTCTGGCTCCACACAAGTCCTGCAGTGTAGGTCGCTTTAGAGAACTGTAGTCCATGAGTCTGTTGGCAGGAACATGGGATCCCGACACTTGCCACCAATTAAAGGAGGACCTGGGTAACCGATGGTTATCCCCTTTGATTAGAATAGGTCAGATCCATTTCCCCAGTAACCGGATGTGACACAGTTCCAGGATACAACGTTTGACAATCTTTATTTGGGTACACAGCTTTGCCTCCTGTTGCCTCCTCCTCCTACTCAGCTTCTTCCTCCTCCTCCTCTACCACCTCCTCATCCATTCACCGTAACACCTTCACCACCAACTTCAGCACAGCCAGGGGGAAACGACAGCAGGCTGTTTTAAAACTCCTATGTTCGGGAGGAAATCCCCACACTGCGCAGGAGCTGTAGACGGGCATGAAATAACAGACCAATGAGTGGGTGTTGCCACTGAGCCTCAAGCCCGGCCTGGTGGTGTGTGATAATGGGCGAAATCTCTGAGCAGCTCTAGGCCTAGCCGGTTTGACGCACATCCCTTGCCTGGCGCATGTGCTGAATTTGGTGGTGCAGAAATTCCTGAAAAACTACCCAGATATATCAGAGCTGCTGCAGAAAGTGCGGACCGTCTGTGCGTGTCTCACCCTGCTGCTGCTCCCCTGTCTGCACTGCAGCGTAACTTCGGCCTTCCCGCTCACCGCCTCATGAGACTGTGTGAGCAGCAGCAGGCGATAGTGGAGTTTCAGCTGCAGCACGCACGGGTCAGTCGCTCTGCGGAACAGAGTTTTCTTTTTTTATATGTCTCAATATTTTCGGGGCTACCCCAATTAAAAATATATATATATATATACATATAAAAAAAACAGTATTGGTTACCTCCTTCTCCTTCACCACTGCTTCCACCTACACCGCCACGGTCACCGCCTCGTCAACCTATGGGTCACTTAGTATAAACTATGTACACAATAGCAGAGGCTTGTGAATGCCTTTTCTCCATGCATCAGGAGTTGAGCATTTCTCCATTTCTTCCAAAGCTAAAGTGAAAGATTCCATCTAGTGCTATTTTATGGCTCAGCTGTATTTTTCATTTTTATGTTATTTTAAGTGATTTCCCTATCCACACTTGTTTGCAGGGCACTTTTCCTACTCTTACCCCCATTTTACTTCATTTTGCAGTCCTCTAGACCTTTCCAGGACTTTTTTAGAGGCATTCTTGTGCCCAAAAGTTCGGGTCCCCTTGACTTCAGTGGGGTTCGGGTTCTGGGTCAAATTCGGGGTCAAGTTTAGTTCCAGTTCTTTGTGATATCCATCCTTGTTTAGAGATCTAATTTTTTCTTTTTTATGAATTAAATGTGTTCAATTCATTGGAAAGGAGAGGATAAAGAGAAAAAGTTAGCCTTAGGGGAATACATAAACGAAATACTCTGGAACTGAATGGGTTTAGCTGTTAACATGAATTTGGTGTGCATTGTATACATGTGTTCATGGGAGTTTAACATAGAGAGCCTCAGATTGGCATCCATGTATATTAGAATTACAAGGTTCAATATCTTTAATATTGGCATTCCATGCAATTGTATTGCGGAATTAGTAATATTTAATTTCACTTCAGTATTTAAATTACTTCTTAAAATTTAATTTTTTATTAGTTATTCACTCTAAAATTATTGGGATTTATGAAATTTATAATGGGGAAATCATTGCACTTTAAATAGTGGTAGCATTTTAAATGATGTAAATATTGCACTTTAAAATTAGTAACAATTATTTAAATTATTTATGTATTGAGTAATGGAAACTCAAGAAATCACATGAATTCTAACAAATTATATGGATTATTTATATAGAATTTATATAATAAATAAAATGCATTGAAGCAAGGTTTATATTAATTCAAAGGAAAAACTACTCACTAAGATTAGCATATATATGTGAAATATACATGATAATGCCAATTCAATTTGGTACTTGGTACACTTTTACATGTTTACATTGTAACTTGCAACATATTTATGCAAAGCATAAATGTTGCTTTCTTTTTTTACTTTTGGAATGCACATGTGACTGGAGTGTGCAACACATATATAGAAGATATGCTGAAATTAATTGGATCTGGGTGGGGGAAGGAGCCCCCCATTTTAAGGAGAAAAGGCACATGATTGGGCAAACCGCTGTTGAGAAGAGGTCACACAGCCAGTGAGGCACCAATGGAAGAAGCAATAAGAACTATTTAAAAGGGTACTCTTGCAGGAGGGTTTAGGTATAATATTTTCTGATTTTATTTTATGTGCTTTTAATGTATATTTTGGACCCTGAAGAAGTTTGTATCTGAGTAAACATGTTAGACTGAGATTTTTATCTATTTGCATGAATATTTTGATGTGCAAATAAAATATTATTAGTTGCAGTGCTTTATCTCAGTAGAGTTCCTGTGAGTGCTGAATAGGTTATATCCTGGGGTTAGCCCATTTAGGGGCTTTAAATATAGATAGTTGCTAAAACACTACAACATTAGGAAAACATGTGGTGAGTTTTTTCCCCCAAATTCCTCCGTAAAATATATTTATTATAAACTTGAATTGATCCAGTGTTGCCACATGAAACTATAATCATATGCATCATTTACAATAAAAAGAAAAATTCACAAAATGCCTGCTTTACATGAAACCCCCCCCACAAAAAAGGTACATCTACATAGGCCAAGTCTATAATAAAAATGAATTCACCAGTGGTGAATTTGCTGGATAAACACATCCATATGTTTTTTTTCTCCTTTGAATTTGATTTTCCTTTTGAAGACAATAGGCTATTTATAATTCTGATAAAGATAAATATGGTAGTGCAGTTGACTTCAACAAAGCACAGCAAATCATAAGGATACTCAGGGGATTATGTACATGTCAGGTGCCTGTAGCATTTCAAGGCAAAATTAAAACACAAAAGAAAAGGCACATAAAGTGAGTTTAACAAATTAATGTATTGACCCATTAAATGCTTAAAAACATATATATTTGACAACTGAATAATTATGAGTGAATTCTGTGTAAATGCATGCAGGGTTAAAGAAAATCAGGGTCATTCACTAAAGTGAGAAAGGGTTTAATGTTAGAGGGGGTAAGATCAGAGTTAGATTTGATCATGTCTTTAAAATTCTACATTATGGTTTTGTTATGTAAAGAATGCTAGAATCAGGTAGGTATAAAATGAATGTTAGATTAATTTTAGAATACAATGGCCTTGAGTCAATATTTTTTGATAAGCTTTAAAAATGATCTAACATTTACGGATAAACTACAATTTTAAATTTTTTATTGAGACATCAGAAAGAATCATTATGGTACAGAATAAAAGAGTGGTTGTATCAGGGTCACAGCACAATACAACATTGCCCATTACAACAAACACGATAGTGGCATTACACTCATGACAATTGTTCAGGGCTCCTTGACAGGAACATGCTTTGGAGATGTACATAAAGCATCTTCAGGTGTCTCGGTCTGGATGCAAACCAGTCATATCGTCACTCATGATCTGATTTTCCCTTTTTGCATGTTCTCCCTATTAATTTTTTTGTTCTGTGCTCACCACATCCCCCGAGGTCCCCTGCCCCCTTCTTGGTTTGTGTTTCTAATTTTCAGGTTCTACGTGAAGTGATATCTTCATTTATAACATTGGGAAAAGAGAAACAGGTAAAGATGAGATATCTTGTTGATATGTGGTGGTAGTGGTTATAATCGACTTAGGTATCCCTCTTACACTATATACAGTGTGGGTGTGTTGCAAGTGGTACTATTCGACTTGAAAATTTTATGGTAGCATTGTGCCCTCATGAGCACTGTATATCAAAGAGGTGTTGCTGTATTTGCCCCCCTTTTTTTTCTGTGAATATTTCCATGGTCGCCTCCCTCAACATCCCACTCCCCCTGTTGTTACGTGTCCATGGGAGATACAGTAGAAGTAGAAGATGTATAACTACTTTTTTATATATATATATATATATATATATATATGTATTAAGGCCGTTTGGCCTGTATTTGTGGGATGGGCTTAAATTAATTCACTCCCCTATATAAGGGACACCCCTTACCTGACTCATATCGCTTGAGGTCAGCATCAGAATGATTTCCACTTCCGGGTCATCCAGACGCCATTTTACCTGATTACTCCATGAGGTTTTCTAAGCAGAGCTGTGTCAGGAATCCAGCCACAGGCTTTTCCGGCCTACCACCTTCTTTCTTCAATCCATCGCCGTGGATGGTGTCCAAGTGACTCACAAACCGTAAGTCGACCTACCCGTTACGCCAGGCATCAGTCCCACGGCACCATGCACGGGTCAGGTCCTTACTTT